CACTGAAAGAAAGCATCTATTTGTGTGAAAAAAAAAGGGATGTAAATTTAGTTTGGGGGTACTAGCATTGCATGACCGTGAAATTATCACTTGAATTAGTGCAGTGCCAAGTAGCAAAAAGAGGCCTGGTCATTAACGGGGGTAAATCCTCTGGAGGGCAAGTGGTTAACTGAAAAACAAGCTATTTGAGCATTTTGACATTATCAATTTCTGAAGGACATATAGTACTGCTTGCTATCATCATGTGTGTAGTCTGTGACAAGAGATTACCTGGAGGTTTTTGGGTTGGTACTTCTGTAGGTTTAGGAATTGGTGGTTCTGAGGAACCATGTAATACAAATGATCCAGACCAAGATCCATAACTGGTTGTTGTGACTCCATTCCTTGTTGATCCAGTGTAACTCGACAGTCCAGGTTTTTTTTTCCACTGTCACTAATCCTACATTATTATCCAGTATTCCAACATGGATAGCTGCTTTGCAAATGGAGGAATCCTAAATATATATATATGATATGTTATTAGAGTTTCCTGATGAAGTGTACTTTTTTTTGTGCTGTATTTTTTTGTGACAGTAGTAGCAGTTGAATTAACTTACATCAGTATACACATCAGTTCCCCAGGCATTTCTTCCATTAACCATGCAATCCGATGGACATTGGACTCTAGGGAACAGAAGACACAGGTTTGCACATATTTTTCTAATGAATCTCTTTTCTATTCTATCTTAGTATTATCCAGTTAGTGACACCAGTTAAATGAAGACAATACTCACAGTGCGATAGAATCTTGTAGGTCTTTAGCAGTGGTTGAGCAGGTTCCTTGTACTGGAAAATAAGGGAAAACATTACAAATCAGTGATTTTTGCAACCGTCTGTGAATGTCAGAGGCTGTGAAAATTTGTCATGCTCTTTTTGTAAACCAGTCAAATTACTTGTTATGGGTAGATGCCCAGACTGCATGGGGAGCAGTGACAAGATAGTCTGGGACTTGGTGTCATTCTTTTTCCATATGGGGTACCACTTAAACGTGGACAATTTTTATTCAAGCGTGCCCACTATTTAGACATTTGTACAATCTTGGAACTGGCGCATGTGGCACAATGTGACCTAATGTGTGCCCACCATTAGAAGTGGGTGGATGCAGGGTGGTATATTCTAATGGTGGGAATACCACACACTTTTTCTGACAATGATTTCTTCTAATTTTTTCATTCAGCCCACAGGCTGCATACAAAAAAAAAGAAAAAGAGCATACCATACTGTATATACCCAACAAGGACCAGGGACATACTGGTACATCACTGGACTTTGAACAGTTACACCAGGATGATGTCTACAGCTGCAGGCATCATCTGGCAATCGGCCTTCATGTAAAAGCAATCCTAGTGGCTAATTAGCTGCAGGATTGCTTTTACAAGCAGCGGGGAGATGATGCCCCCCTCCCCCGCTGCCTTCCACGGCATTCTCGTGCAGTCCCGTGCCATCGAGGGAACCTGAGAATGCAGACGGTGTTTTCTGCCAGCTGGACCATAGAGCTGATTGGAGATCAGAATGGTACCAATCATATCTATAGCCTAAGAAAATCGGAAGCTACGAGCATTTAATCACTTCAGTTCAGAAGGATATAAACAGCGCCATTTGTAAATTGGGAAAGCATCTGTTCACACCCATCTTGGTTGATTATATAATGTAAGGGCAGAGGAGAGATCTAGAGTCTGATAGACCCCAGATTTCTCAAAAAAGAAATATGATAATGCCCAGTGAAGTTATAGGGGATATTTTGCATTCCCTGTGAAAAATCGCTGCGCAAATACTATGTGACACAAAGAATTGCAGCACTCGCCATTGTATTCACTAGGGTGTTTGCTTTAAAAAAAATATATAATGTTTGGGGGGTTTAAATTAATTTCCTAGCATAAAATACTGAATTGTTTTCATGTGAACAAAAAGAGTCAGAAAAAGGCTTGGTCCTTCAGGTGGTTAGAAGAGTGAGTGATGTGTGGCTTCTAATGCCTGGGCATAAAATGCCCCACTCCCCAAAAACGAGCTCCCCTTTTTGGAAAGTAGACCACCCAAGCTATTTGCTGAGAGGCATGTTGAATTAAATAGAATAATTATTTTTATTATACCACAAGTTTTTGGAAAATGACAAACAAAAATGTTTGTTTTTTTTTACACCAAAATTGTCACTTAAATGATTTATTTGCTCACACATGCCATGGGTATATGTGGAATTACTCCCCAAAATACATTCTGCTACTTCTCCTGAGTATGGGGGTACGACGTGTGAGAGACTTTTTGGGAGCCTAGCCACATACAGGAGCCTGAAAATCCAATGACCACTTTGAAACCCTGAAGGTGCTCATAACTTCACTCATCATTTCACTTCCTCACTACCCAAAATCCAATAAGCACCTTCAGGCTTTTAAAGGGCTTTATTTCCTCTTTAACACTTCCTGATTTACCTATCACAGTTTTTGGAGGCCCTGAAATGCCAGGGTTAGCACCAAACCCCCCCAAATGAACCCCTTTTTGGAAAGTAGACACCCCAAGGAATTTGATAAGAAGCATGGTGAGTGTATTTTGCAGATCTCTTTTGTTTGCCACAGGTTTTTGGAAAATGGAGATTTAAATAAACAAAAAATATATTTTTTTCTTTATTCTTTTTTGTTATCTTTTTTTTTACATTTTCAAAACCTTGTGTGAGAAAAAATAGATGTGCACAAAATACTCAACATGCCTCTTTTTAAATTCCTTGGGGTGTCTACTTTCCAATTAAATGGGGTCATTTGGGTGGGGGTTGGTGCTATCCTGGCAATTCAGGGCCTTCGAAACAGTGATAGGTAGTGAGGAAGTGAAATGAGGACATAATGCCCTTTAAAAGCCTGAAGGTGCTTATTGGATTTTTGGCAATGAGGAAGTGAAATGAGGAAGTTACGCTCCTTCAGACTTTTCAAGTGGTCAATGGGTATTTCAGGCTCCTGTATGTGGCTAGACTCCCAAAAAGTCTCACACATGTGGTATTTCCCATACTCAGTAGAAGTAGCAGAATGTATTTTGGGGTGTTAAATTCCACATATGTCCATGGCTTGTACAAAGAAATAAATCATTTAAGTGACAACTTTGTGTAAAAAAAAAAATATATATTTTTGTCATTTTCCAGAAACGTGGAAACATTTTTTTTTCCATGGACTCAATATTATTTATTATTATTATTATTATATCGAGTTTTATATAGCGCCAAAGGGTTTGCTCAGCGCTGTACAATAGTAGGGGGGGACAATACATGAAACAGTACAGTAACAACAAACAGCACCCAAGGGTTAAGAGGGCCCTACTCTTTCGAGCTTACAATCTAGGGAGGGAGGGGGTAGTGGTACAGGAGGAAATGGCTGTGGGGAAATGGCTGTGGGGGGATGGAGTGGTAGGTCAGGAGGACGGAAGGGCAGCCTGGCATGTTAGGTGAGGGTGGGGTAGGCTTCCCTGAAGAGGTGGGTTTTCAGGGAGCGCCTGAAGGTGAGGAGGGAAGGTTGACGTCTGACGGATTGGGGTAGTGAGTTCCAGAGGATGGGGGGAGGACCTGGAGAAGTCTTGCAGACGTGCGTGTGAGGAGGAGACCAGGGAGCAAGATAAGAAAGGAGGTCCTGTGAAGAGCGAAGGGTACGGGTAGGGTGGTACCTGGGAATCAGGTCGGTGAGGTAGTTAGGGGGCAGTGTTGTGAATGGCCTTATAGGTCAGGAGTGAGCAGTTTGAATTTAATGCGTTTGGGCAATGGGGAGCCAGTGGATGGAGAGGGCAGATGGGGGTGGCAGAGGTGAAGCAGGCCTGGTGAGGTGGATGAGTCTGGCCGCTGAGTTCAGGATGGTCTGAAAGCGGGGAGTGTTTGCACTGGGGTAGGCGGGTGAGGAGAGAGGGAGTTGCAGTAGTCAAGGCGTGAAGGCGTGAGATAATCAGGGGAGTGTACGAGTAGTTTTAGTGGTGTCTGGGGTAAAGGAGCGGAGCGTATATCTTGGCGATGTCTCTGGAGGTGGAGCCTGCATGTGTTTGTAAGTGATTTGACATGAGGTTGAAAGGAAAGGTTTGAGTCCAGAATGACGCCCAAGGACTCTTGGCTTGTGCGGGGGGCGGGATTGATGGTGGTGTTGTTGGTAGTGATTGAAAGGATTGGGGGGGGGCGCGGGGGAGGGGGAAAGACGAGAAGCTCGGTTTTGGAGAGGTTGAGCTTGAGGAAATGGAGCTGCGACATCCAGTCAAGATGTCGTTTAGGAGGTGAGTGATGCTGGGCGGAGAATTTGGGGGTGAGGTGAGGCGGTGGATAGGTAGATTTGAGTATCATCAGCGTAGAGGTGGTAATTGAAGCGTGGAGTGTATGAGGTTTTGCCAAGGGAGGAGGTGTAGACACCCCCCCCCCCCCCCCCCCCCCCCCCCCCCCCCCCCCCCCCCCCCCCCCGTGGGAAAAGAGAAGGGGTCCAAGGACAGAGCCCTGGGGGACCCAACAGAGAGGGGGAGGGAAGGGGGAGTGGCACCGTTGTAGGAAACGCCTGAAGGAGCGTTGGATAGATAGGACGAGAACCAAGAGAGAGGCGGTGTCTCTGATGCACAAGGGAGAGTAGTTTATTAAGGAGTGGAGGGGGGTGGTCGACTGTGTCAAAGGCCGCAGAGAGGTCTAGGAGAAGGAGGACAGAGTAGTCGCCTTTGGCGGTTAGTAGATCGTTGGTGATTTTGAGGGAGGGCAGTTTCGGTGGTGTGGATGTGGGGACAGAAGGCCTGGACTGAAGTGGATCAAGGAGGTTGCTGTCAGGTTCAGGTGGGCGCTTAGGCGATCGTAGACCAAGCGCTTTAAGGAGCTTGGAGGTGGAAAGTGGCAGCAGGGAAAATTGGTCTGAGGATGTTGACGGTCAGTGGGGTCCAGGGAGGGCTTTTGAGTATAGGGGGTGATGTGTGCGCATGTTTTAGGGGGGAGGGGGGGAAGACCGCCAGTAGAGAAGGGAGAGATTGAAGATGTGAGGTGAGGGAGCTGGATGATGGGAAGATGGGGGGGTGACCGGAGTAGTTGAGAGGGGATAGGGTCCAGGGGGGCAGGTAGTGAGGCGGGCCTTCTGAGAAGACTCTGGTGACTTCCTCAGTGGTAGTAGGGCTGAAAGAGTGCAGTGCTGGGGGGGTTACGGTAGGATAGGGCCTTGGGTGTTGGTGGTGCGGGCGGCAGTTTGAATGCCTTGTGGCGAGGGTCAGAGGACGGGGGAGAGATGAGAGGGGCGTGATGGGAAGGGGGGAGGCTAGATGGGGAGGTAGATTGCAAGTTGACTATGTCCTTGCGGATTGCGTTAATCTTGTTGTGGAGATGATTGGCAATCTAGTCTCCCAGTGGGCGGTAAGTGAGATACTGAGTGGAGGAGGGGGGGGGGGAGAGCAGGGAGTTGAAGGATGGATGAAGAGTCGGCGAGGGCAGGTGGAGAGGGTGTTGATCAGGTTAACGAAGTAGGCCTGCTTGGAGCTGGCGGAGAGGGAGGAGGTGTAGGTGAGGAAGGCAGATTTGTAGAGGGAGAACGCAGGTTGGCGGAGGTTGCGGCTGGTGATGGTTTTGGCGCACTGGGGGGGGGGGGGAGTTAGGGGAAGGGGAGGTGGAGAAACGTGAGGAGGTGGTGTCGTTAGAGAGGGAGGGGGTGTGTAGTTGAAGTGGTTGGGATGTGATACAGAGGTGGAGAGAGCGAGGTCAGGGATGGTTGGGATGTGGGTGGAGAATTGGTGGGGGTATTGTGTTGAGCGCGAAGGAGGAAGGTTAGGTGGAGAGTTGGGAGGTAGTGGGGGGTTGTTGTTGATAGGGGATGTCTGAAGTCCCCCGAGGATGATGGTTGGTAGCTCAGAGGAGAGGGAAAGAAGGGAAGCCAGGCGGCGAAGTCATCCAGGAAGCGTGGAGATATGGATCCGGTGGGCCTGTAGATCACCTGCGATCCTTAGGGGGGTGGGTGAGAAAGAAGAGCCGGATGCTGTGAGCCTCGAAGGAGGGAGAAGGATAGGGAGGGGGGGTTTAGGGAGGACCTGGAAGGTGCTCACTCAGCGGTGATAGGAGCAAGCCGACACCACTCACCTTTGTGACCGCTCAGTCTTGGTGAATGGGACCAGAACGAGACCTCCATGGGAGAGGTGCCGCAGGGGAGGTTAGAGTCAGTGGCCTGTACCCAGGTTTCGGTGATGGCTAGGAGGTTGAGGGAGCAGGAGATAAAGAGGTCATGGATGGCAGTTAGTTAGTTTTGTTGCAGACCGAACGGGCGTTCAGAAGTGCAACGAGAGAGGGGGATGGATGCGGGGAAGAGGTGCACAGGTATGAGGTTGAGGGGGTTGCGGCGGCTGGCGGGACCAGGGGGGGTCCCTGGAGGGGGAGTTCCTGGAGGGGGGTGAGATGAGGTGGTGAGGGGCCAGGGTTCGGGGTGATGTCCCCAGCGGATAGGAGAAGGAGAAGGGTGAGTCGGAGGGTGGCATGGGAATGGGAGGTGCAGGAGCATGTGGGTTCTGGTAGTGGTGGCACATGGGTCGACGGGGGGGAGTGGAGTACCAGGAGGAGGTGTGGTGAGTGCCGTAGTTAGTGGGGAGAGGGGAGAAGTGAAGGGGCAATGTAGAGCTGTTTTGGGGGGGTAGGCGGGTAGAGAGAGGCGATTTTTGGGATGGAGGAGAGGAAAACGAGGAGGAGAAGTGCAGGTGGCATGCTGGAGTGAGTGCAGTGCTGTTCGGGGTCAAGGGGAGGTGAAGGGATACGGGTCAGGGCGAGGTGATGTGGAGAGTCTGTATCACCGTGGAGGAGTCCACTAGAGTCCTTCTGTAGGGGGAGAGTGGGAGTAAAGGGCAGCAGCTGGCTGGCTGCAATCTGTGGGTGCAGTATGCTGGCGTCCGTGGGGTCTTCAGTGGGTCCGGTGGTTCGGCGAGTGGAGGGGTTGTAGGGTGCGATGTCTGGGGGTGTTGGTAGGCACGGGGTCTGGTGATGCTGGCGGCTCGGTGACTGGAGATGTTGAGGTCGGGCGTCAGGTGCTGAGGGCTCGGTGTCGGGAGGCGCAGAAGGTGCTGAAGGGCGCAGCGTCCGGAGGTGTTGAAGGGTCGTCGTCAGGAGGTGGTGTGGATCGACGTCTGGAGGTAGAGTGAGTTAGGACCAGGGTGCTGAGGGCCGTGTGGCAGGCTTGAATCCGTCAGATAGGATAGGGCTCAGGGCTGTGTGGTGGTAGGTGCCCGGCTGCGTGGAACCCGGAGGGGAGCAGGGAGGCCCGGTGCGGGAGGCAGAGGTGCGGCGACGTCTCGATTTGCTGGGTGGTCCGGGTGTTGGGTGTCCAGAGGTGGTAGCTGGGTGCCCGGTAGCTGGGTGCTGGGTGGTAGCTGGTGCCCGGTAGCTGGGTGTCCAGGGGTGGTAGCTGGGTGCCCGGTAGCTGGGTGCAGGGTGTCCAGGGGTGGGCCCAGAGCCGATGTATGGGTGGGCAGCGGAGCAGCGATCAGTGGGCCTGAGCTGGTTCCTGGTGGTCAGGGATGGACACAGGGCTAGTGAGGAGGGCCCTGCGGAGGCTGGCAGGTCGGTGGGGATCGGTGGTGGCAGCTTAGCCGTTCTGGTGGTGCTGCCGTGCGGGTATCCTGGGGTGGTCCTGGGCTGCTGTCAGCTTGGTGGTCCTTGCTAGGCTGATCTTTGGTGGGGTAGTTGTTGTCGCCTTGCGTCAGGCTGCTGTGGCCCTGGAGACGGTGGAGAGGGTCAGGGGCTGCCTGGGGAGGACCACCCCGCTGTGTGTCAGAGGGCAGGAGCCGAGGGACGGAGCGGTCGGCGCCGCGGTTCGGCGGCGGCGGTGCTGCAAGTCGGCCCGCAAATTAATTGAGGCCGCGGCTTTGCCGGGTTGCAGTAGGCGCGATTTCGGAGGGGGCCAAAACTGCTCGGGACCCCTCCCGGATGCTTCACTAGGGGCCGCAGGTGTGTCAGGGCCCTCGTAGTGTCCGGATGGCAGCAGATTAGGCAGTGGGGCGATGGAGCTCTCTGACGGCATGTTGCTCCGTCGCCATCTTGACATATCATATCATATCAATATGCCTCTCATCAGATAGCTTAGGGTGTCTACTTTCCAAAAAGGGGTCATTTGAGGGTGTTTGTGCTATCCTAGTATTTTAGCACCTCAAAACATGTGATGGGCAGTCAGAAAGTAAAAGCTGCGTAAATTCCATTATCTATACCATAGTTTGTAGATGCTATAATTTTCACACAAAGCAATAAATATACACTTATTGGGATTTTTTTAACCAAAAACATGTAACAGAATACATTTTGGCCTAAATTTATGACGAAATTTTAGGTTTTTTTTTAAAATATTTTTTATGACAGAAATGAGAGGTTTTTTTTTATAGCGGCAAAAAATAAAAAGCGCACACAGGGGATCAAATACCACTGAAAGAAAGCTCTATTTGTGTGAAAAAAAAGGATGTAAATTTAGTTTGGGTGCAGCATTGCATGACCGTGAGAAATTATCACTTGAATTAGTGCAGTGCCAAGTAGCAAAAAGAGGCCTGGTCATTAACGGGGGTAAATCCTCTGGAGGGCAAGTGGTTAACTGAAAACAAGCTATTTGAGCATTTTGACATTATCAATTTCTGAAGGACATATGCTTGCTATCATCATGTGTAGTCTGTGACAAGAGATTACCTGGAGGTTTTTGGGGTTGGTACTTCTGTAGGTTTAGGAATTGGTGGTTCTGAGGAACCATGTAATACAAATGATCCAGACCAAGATCCATAACTGGTGGTTGTGACTCCATTCCTTGTTGATCCAGTGTAACTCGACAGTCCAGGTTTTTTTTCCACTGTCACTAATCCTACATTATTATCCAGTATTCCCAACATGGATAGCTGCTTTGCAAATGGAGGAATCCTAAATATATATATATGATATGTTATTAGAGTTTCCTGATGAAGTGTACTTTTTTGTGCTGTATTTTTTTGTGACAGTAGTAGCAGTTGAATTAACTTACATCAGTATAGACATCAGTTCCCCAGGCATTTCTTCCATTAACCATGCAATCCGATGGACATTGGACTCTAGGGAACAGAAGACACAGGTTTGCACATATTTTTCTAATGAATCTCTTTTCTATTCTATCTTAGTATTATCCAGTTAGTGACACCAGTTAAATGAAGACAATACTCACAGTGCGATAGAATCTTGTAGGTCTTTAGCAGTGGTTGAACAGGTTCCTTGTACTGGAAAAGTAAGGGAAAAACATTACAAATCAGTGATTTTTGCAAACCGTCTGTAAATGTCAGAGGCTGAAAATTTGTCATGCTCTTTTTGTAAACCAGTCAAATTACTTGTTATGGGTAGATGCCCAGACTGCATGGGGAGCAGTGACAAGATAGTCTGGGACTTGGTGTCATTCTTTTTCCATATGGGGTACCACTTAAACGTGGACAATTTTTATTCAAGCGTGCCACTATTTAGACATTTGTACAATCTTGGAACTGGCGCATGTGGCACAATGTGACCTAATGTGTGCCCACCATTAGAAGTGGGTGGATGCAGGGTGGTATATTCTAATGGTGGGAATACCACACACTTTTTCTGGCAATGATTTCTTCTAATTTTTTCATTCAGCCCACAGGCTGCATACAAAAAAAAAGAAAAGAGCATACCATACTGTATATACCCAACAAGGACCAGGGACATACTGGTACATCACTGGACTTTGAACAGTTACACCAGGATGATGTCTACAGCTGCAGGCATCATCTGGCAATCGGCTTTCATGTAAAAGCAATCATAGTGGCTAATTAGCTGCAGGATTGCTTTTACAAGCAGCGGGAGATGATGCCCCCCCTCCCCCGCTGCCTTCCACGGCCTTCTCGGGCAGTCCCGTGCCATCGAGGGAACCTGAGAATGCAGACGGTGTTTCTGCCAGCTGACCATAGAGCTGATTGGAGATCAGAATGGTGCCAATCATATCTATAGCCTAAGAAATCGGAAGCTACGAGCATTTAATCACTTCAGTTCAGCAGGATATAAACAGCGCCATTTGTAAATTGGGAAAAGCATCTGTTCACACCAATCTTGGTTGATTATATAATGTAAGGGCAGAAGAGAGATCTAGAGTCTGATAGAGCCCAGATTTCTCAAAAAAGAATATATGATAATGCCCAGTGAAGTTATAGGGGATATTTGCATTCCCTGTGAAAAATCGCTGCGCAAATACTATGTGACATAAAAAATTGCAGCACTCGCCATTGTATTCACTAGGGTGTTTGCTTTAAAAAAATATATAATGTTTGGGGGTTTAAATTAATTTTCTAGCAAAAAATACTGATTTGTTTTCATGTGAACAAAAAGAGTCAGAAAAGGCTTGGTCTTCAGGTGGTTAGAAGAGTGAGGGATGTGTGGCATAAACTTCTAATGCTGGGCATAAAATGCCCCCACCCCCCCCAAAACGACCTTTTTTGGAAAGTAGACACCCCAAACTATTTGCTGAGAGGCATGTTGAATAAATAGAATAATTTATTTTTTTACCACAAGTTTTTGGAAAATGACAAAAACATTTTTATTGTTTTTTACACAAAATTGTCACTTAAATGATTTATTGCTCACACATGCCATGGGTATATGTGGAATTACTCCCCAAAATACATTCTCTGCTACTTCTCCTGAGTATGGGGGTACCACGTCTGAGAGACTTTTTGGGAGCCTAGCCACATACAGGGGCCTGAAATCCAATGACCACTTTGAATGCCTGAAGGTGCGTAACTTCCTCATTTCACTTCCTCACTACCCAAAATCCAATAAGCACCTTCAGGCTTTTAAAGAGCTTTATTTCCTCTTTACACTTCCTGATTACCTATCACAGTTTTGGAGGCCCTGAAATGCCAGGATAGCACCAAACCCCCCCAAATTACCCCTTTTTGGAAAGTAGACACCCCAAGGAAATTGATAGGAAGCATGGTGAGTATTTTGCAGATCTCTTTTGTTGCCAAACGTTTTTGGAAAATGGAGAAAAATAACAAAAATATATTTTTTCTTTTCTTTTTTTTATATTTCAAAACCTTGTGAGAAAAAAAATAGATGTGCAAAATACTCAACATGCCTCTTTTTAAATTCCTTGGAGTGTCTACTTTCCAAAAAGGGGTCATTTGGGGGGGGGGGGGGGGGGTTGGTGCTATCCTGGCAATTCAGGGCCTTCGAAACAGTGATAGGTAGTGAGGAAGTGAAATGAGGAAATAATGCCCTTTAAAAGCCTGAAGGTGCTTATTGGATTTTTGGCAATGAGGAAGTGAAATGAGGAAGTTACGCTCCTTCAGACTTTCAAAGTGGTCATTGGATTTCAGGCTCCTGTATGTGGCTAGACTCCCAAAAAGTCTCACACATGTGGTATCCCCATACTTGGTAAAAAAAAAAAAAAAAAAAAAAAAAAAAAAAAAAAAAAAAAAAAAAGAAGTAGCAGAATGTATTTTTGGGGTGTAATTCCACATATGCCCATGGCTTGTACGAGAAATAAATCATTTAAATGACAACTTTGTGTAAAAAAAAAAAAAAAAAATGTGTTTTTGTCATTTTCCAGAAACATGTGGAATTTTTTTTTTTTCCATGGACTCAATATGCCTCTCATCAGATAGCTTAGGGTGTCTACTTTCCAAAAAGGGGTCATTTGAGGGTGTTTGTACTATCCTAGTATTTTAGCACCTCAAAAAATGTGATGGGCAGTCAGAAAGTAAAAGCTGCGTAAATTCCATTATCTATACCATTGTTTGTAGATGCTATAATTTTTCACACAAAGCAATAAATATACACTTATTGGGATTTTTTTGACCAAAAACATGTAGCAGAATACATTTTGGTCTAAATTTATGACAAAATTTGAGGTTTTTTTTTTATATTTTTTTATGACAGAAATGAGAGGTTTTTTTTTATAGTGCCAAAAATAAAAAGTGCACAGGGGATCAAATACCACTGAAAGAAAGCTCTATTTGTGTGAAAAAAAGGACGTAAATTTAGTTTGGGTGCAGCATTGCATGACCGCGCAATTATCAGTTGAATTAGTGCAGCGCCAAGTAGCAAAAAGACTCCTGGTCATTAACGGGGTTAATCCTCTTGAGGGCAAGTGGTTAACTGAAAACAAGCTATTTGAGCATTTTGACATTATCAATTTCTGAAGGACATATAGTACTGCTTGCTATCATCATGTGTAGTTTGTGACAAGAGATTACCTGGAGGTTTTTGGGTTGGTACTTCTGTAGGTTTAGGAATTGGTGGTTCTGAGGAACCATGTAATACAAATGATCCAGACCAAGATCCATAACTGGTTGTTGTGACTCCATTCCTTGTTGATCCAGTGTAACTCGACAGTCCAGGTTTTTTTTCCACTGTCACTAATCCTACATTATTATCCAGTATTCCAACATGGATAGCTGCTCTGCAAATGGAGGAATCCTAAATATATATATATATGATATGTTATTAGAGTTTCCTGATGAAGTGTACTTTTTGTGCTGTATTTTTTTGTGACAGTAGTAGCAGTTGAATTAACTTACATCAGTATAGACATCAGTTCCCCAGGCATTTCTTCCATTAACCATGCAATCTGATGAACATTGGACTCTAGGGAACAGAAGACACAGGTTTGCACATATTTTTCTAATGATCTCTTTTTTATTCTATCTTAGTATTATCCAGTTAGTGACACCAGTTAAATGAAGACAATACTCACAGTGCGATAGAATCTTTTAGGTCTCTAGCAGTGGTTGAACAGGTTCCTTGTACTGGAAAATAAGGGAAAACATTACAAATCAGTGATTTTTGCAACCGTCTGTAAATGTCAGAGGCTGAAAATTTGTCATGCTGTTTTTGTAAACCAGTCATATTACTTGTTATGGGTAGATGCCCAGACTGCATGGGGAGCAGTGACAAGATAGCTTGGGACTTGGTGCCATTCTTTTTCCATATGGGGTACCACTTAAACGTGGACAATTTTTATTCAAGCGTGCCACTATTTAGACATTTGTACAATCTTGGAACTGGCACATGTGGCACCATGTGACCTAATGTGTGCCCACCATTAGAAGTGGGTGGATGCAGGGTGGTATATTCTAATGGTGGGAATACCACACACTTTTTCTGGCAATGATTTCTTCTCATTTTTTCATTCAGCCCACAGGCTGCATACAAAAAAAAAGAAAAGAGCATACCATACTGTATATACCCAACAAGGATCAGGGACGTACTGGTACATCACTGGACTTTGAACAGTTATACCAGGATGATGCCTACAGCTTCAGGCATCATCCTGGTATCATTATGTTCAGCCGGCGATCGGCTTTCATGTAAAAAGCAATCCTAGGGGCTAATTAGCTGCAGGATTGCTTTTACAAGCAGCGGGAGATGATGCCCCTTGTGCCAATAATCTCTATAGGCTAAGAAATCGGAAGCTCCGAGCATTTAATCACTTTAGTTTTGCAGGATATAAACAGCGCCATTGGCAAATTGGGAAAGCATCTGATCACACCGATCTTGGTTTTATTAGATAATGTAAGGGCAGAGGAGAGATCTAGAGTCTGATAGACCCCAGATTTCTCAAAAAAGAATATATGACAATGCCCATTGAAGTTATAGAGGATATTTGCATTCCCTGTGATAGCATTAAAAGTGATTAAAAAAATGAAAGGGACAGTGTAAAAATAATAAAAAAAAAAATCACCCTCGACCCCCTGCGCGCGCACACCTGTGTGCCCGAGCATTGACCCTGTGTTGGTATGTAAACAGCGGTTGCAACATGTATGTGAGGTATAGCCATGAACGTCATATCAAGGGCAGTAATTCTAACACTAGACCTCCTCAGTAAATCTAAAATGGTAGCTTGTAAAGGATATGGATATTAAAAATCTATGCAGTGTGTGTGTGCCATAGCACAGGGCATGCACAGTTTTAAAGCATGTTATGTTTGGTATCTATTTACTTGGCATACCATCATCTTCTATATTTACCAAATAATTGTCCAATATATTGTGTTTTTGTGCATTAAAAGTAAAAAAAGTGTGTTTTTTTTTAAAATTGCGTTTGAAAAATCACTGCGCGAAAACTATGTAACATAAAAAATTGCAGCACCCACCATTTTATTCACTAGGGTGTTTGCTTTAAAAAATATAGAATGTTTGAAGGTTTAAATTAATTTCCTAGCAACAAGTACTGATTTATTTTCATGTGAGCAAAAAGTGTCAGAAAAGGCTTGGTCTTCAGGTGGTTAGAAGAGTGAGTGAGGTGTGGCATAAACTTCTAATGCTGGGCATAAAATGCCCCCACCCCCCAAAACGACCCCTTTTTGGAAAGTAGACACCCCAAACTATTTGCTGAGAGGTATGTTGAATCAAAAGAAAAATTTTAAAAGTTTTTGCAATTTTCCAGAAACTTGTGGAAAAAAAAATATTTTCCATGGACTCAATATGCCTCTCATCAGATAGCTTATGGTGTCTACTTTCCAAAAGGGGTCATTTGAGGGTGTTTGTACTATCCTGGTACTTTAGCACCTCAAGAAATGTGATGGGCAGTCAGAAAGTAAAAGCTGTGTAAATTCCATTATCTATACCATCGTTTGTAAATGCTATAACTTTCTCACAAAGCAATAAATATACACTTATTGGGATTTTTTTAAACAAAAACATGTAGCAGAATACATTTTGGCCTAAATTTATGACAAAATTGTTTTTTTTTTTAATATTTTTTATGACAGAAATTATTTTTTTTTTATAGTGCCAAAAATAAAAAGCGCACAGGTGATCAAATACCACCAAACGAAAGCTCTATTTGTGTGAAAAAGACAAATTTAATTTATGTACTATATTGCATGACCGTTTAATTGTCAGTTAAACTAGTGCAGCACTGTATAGCAAAAAAATGGTGTAAATTGCAGTATCTATACCATAGTTTGTAGACGCAATAACTTTCACACAAAGCACTCAATATACACCTATTTGGATTTTTTTTTACCAAAAACATGTAGCAAAATATATTTTGGCCTAAATTAATAACTAACTTTGAGTTTACTATATATTTTTTATAGCCAAAAGTAAAAAATATCGTTTTTCTTCAAATTTTCAGTCTTTTTTTTGTTTAAAGCGCGAAAAATAAAAAGCGCACAGGTGATCAAATACCACCAAAAGAAAGCTCTATTTGTGTGAAAAAAAGGATGTAAATTTAGTTTGGGTACAGCATTGCATGACCGCACAATTATCAGTTGAATTAGTGCAGCACCGAGTAGCAAAAAGAGGCCTGGTCATTAAGGGGGGTAAATCCTCTGGAGGGCAAGTGGTTAACTGAATACAAGCTATTTGAGCATTTTGACATTATCAATTTCTGAAGGACATATAGTACTGCTTGCTATCATCATGTGTAGTCTGTGACAAGAGATTACCTGGAGGTTTTTGGGTTGGTACTTCTGTAGGTTTAGGAATTGGTGGTTGTGAGGAACCATGTAATACAAATGATCCAGACCGAGATCCATAACTGGTTGTTTTGACTCCATTCCTTGTTGATCCAGTGTAACTCGACAGTCCAGGTTTTTTTTCCACTGTCACTAATCCTACATTATTACCCAGTATTCCAACATGGATAGCTGCTTTGCAAATGGAGGAATCCTAAATATATATATATGATATGTTATTAGAGTTTCCTGATGAAGTGTACTTTTTTGTGCTGCATTTTTGGTGACAGTAGTAGCAGTTGAATTAACTTACATCAGTATAGACATCAGTTCCCTAGGCATTTCTTCCATTAACCATGCAATCCGATGGACATTGGACTCTAGGGAACAGAAGACACAGGTTTGCACATATTTTCCTAATGAATCTCTTTTCTATTCTATCTTAGTATTATCCAGTTAGTGACACCAGTTAATGAAGACAATACTCACAGTGCGATAGAATCTTGTAGGTCTTTAGCAGTGGTTGAACAGGTTCCTTGTACTGGAAAGGAAGGGAAAACATTATATCAGTCCACTTAACTAGAAAGGAATAATGATTACAAATCAGTGATTTTTGCAACCGTCTGTAAATATCAGGGGCTGAAAATGTGTCATGTTCGTTTTGTAAACCAGTCAAATGACTTGTTAATGGTATTGTTAGTCTTTCCATATTGTGTTTATACTGTTTAAATATTTATTGCCTTCGTTTTTAACGTCATTTTTCAGGTTTTCAGTAAAAAATGGGCCCTGTCAGTAATTTTTTTATGTTTTGTTAATAAAAAATGCTGTGGGAGTTTGGCACCACTGTCTCAACCTAAGGTGCAAAAACATGTAAGAGGTGATTTTCTAACTCACAGCTTTGACATTCAGTAGAAAGTAGGAAGGAGCTTTTCACTCTATTGTACATTCATCAAATATATTGTACATATTTCATTTACAGCATTTAGAGCCACTGGCATTGCTGGAAGCAATCAAGTTAATATACACATCAAGATGGAAATACATAGCTATGTAGAATTGAAAATTAAAACACAAATTAATTACCTGCAGGACTTCTCACGTAGATACATATTGACAGAGCTGACAGAAACAATTGAGTACTGTCCGTGATACTTTTTTTATTTGCACAAACATACAATTTTGAGGACAAGCTTTCGGGGTATGTCCCCTTCTTCAAAGTCTAAGCAGTGCTATACAAATCACAAAGTTTCAGCAGAATGTTAGAAGGGATGAAAAAAAAAAAAGAGGTTAGAGATAAGATACAGCAAAAGCGAAGGGGGGGGGGGGGGGAGAATATTACACTCACACAGAGGGAGTCAAGCTTGAGCTAATAGTCATAAAACTGTTGGATAATGAGTGAGGAATCCAATGTCCAAATTTAGGCCGTTATCTCTTGTGTCAAATAAAATTATCATTCTTAGTTCAAAAGTTTTTCTTTCCTGAATGGATTTGAAATTTCCTTTAAGAACTAAAATATTGAGGTCTTCCATTGTGTGGCCTGGTTGTGCAAATGCACTAATACGGCTACAATCACCTCAAGCAAAATATTAAGAGCTGAGAAAGTTAATTGGGCAGAATCAAAATTAAAAAATGAAGGATAGGATTCATCTATCCATACAAATGAGGACGATGGATGAATCCTCTCTGCTGGGACATTGGAGGGGATTTACTAAAACTGTTGCACTCAGGATCTGTTGCAGCTGTGCATGGTAGCCAATCTGCTTCTAACTTCAGTTTCAGCCATTAAGCTTTGCCAATAAAACCTGGAAGCTGATTGGTCTCTATGTAGAGCTGCACCAGATTTTGTACTCTCTAGTTTCAGTAAATTATCCCTATTGCATTTTGAATGCAGGACTCAATCAGCTACAGTCGTCGGATCGAGAAATATTTTCCAATTAGTCATTTTGACAAAAAACAATCCAATGATTGTGTCAGCCACTGCCTGGCGGTAGCTCAAGCTGCCCACAGCGCGGGGTTCCTCAGGGCGCGGGGTCTAAGTCCCAATCTGCTTATTCACCAGAGCCCCTGATGGTGGGGATGAACTTGGAGCAGACTGAGACCAGGTTGCGGTCCCTGAGTACGCCCGGCTATGGTAGAGGGTACCGTCAGAGGTGTGCGAGGAATAGGGCCTGATGTGAAGAGGCTGGCAGGCCTGGCAGCAGGGACTGATCCATGCGGGAGGGATGGATGGACGGACAGCGTAAGGTATGGCGTAGTCAGGCGGACCACGTCGGTAATGTGCGGGCAGCGAGGTACCAGAGGAGCAGACAGAGGATGGTCAGGTCAAGCCGAGTTCAGCAACGGGAGATCAAAACATAAGGGGCAGGCAGGAGAGTGGTTGGGACGAGCCAGGGATCAAGCAGGAGACAGTCAGCAGGGTCAGGATCAAGCAGAGGTCGGCAACAGGGAAGCTTCACTACAGAACACAGGAACAGGTAAATCAGACCAAACGGCAATGTACATACCTCCCGGCTCATTTAAATAGCCCGCCCTGCGCTGTCATTGGTGCCAGGCGCGCATCCGCGATCACGAGTGTGCATGCGCGCCCGTCGCTGTTGCCGCGATCGCCCAGGTCCAGCCGCTCGCCGGCTAGTGCACAACGGTGTTCTGCACATGTGCCGCCCAGTGTATTGTGGCGAAGCCCTGAGTCCCTGACAGATTGACTTCTATCTAACAGGCACAGTACACATGGATCGAAATTCATCCAGTCCCTGCTGAACCAGCAGAATTTCAATCCATCCATAGCCAGCTTATGTTATGTCTACCATAACTTTCAAGTATGCTTTGCATGCTTCCGCATTATGGCAAATGTTCCCCTAACTGATTAGTTATACTTTAAAGTGTATCTAAATCTCAAACATTTTTGTGTTAATTGGTGTGAAGTGTAAAACCTCTGGCAGGTTTTTATTGCTGCCTGTATACCTGAAGAGGATTTGCCCTCTGTATTTGTCTTGGTTACTTTTACCACTGGGACATACAGAGAAGAAGAGACCAACATTCTGAGCTGTCACCAGAGCAGGAATAAAGGGGACATTTTTCAGTGGTGAAGCTTGTTCGAGTGACAGCTGCCAAAAAGGGGATCTTGCTCACTTTGGAGATATTCTTTCTCACTTTCTGTTGTTTATAGCACAGTAACTGAAAAGAAATCACCCCAATGAATCAACAGGGGTTTTAGCAATTCTTTTTTCTATCACAAATTAAAAAACATCAGTTTGGTGGTATGACAAGGACATATCCTTTATCCTAAATGATCACGGAAAGCTTAGAGGTAGCTATGAAATTACATAGTGTAAGAACTTTTAACACCCCCACATTTACTGATATTGGAATAAAGGGGAAATCTTTAAGTGGTGAAGCTTGTTTGAGTGACAGCTGCCAAAAAGGGGATCTTGCTCACTTTGGAGATATTCTCTCACTTTCTGTTGTTTATAGCAAAGTAACTGAAAATACATCACCCCAATGAATGGACAGGTTTTAGCAATTCTCTTTTCTATCACAAATTAAAAAACACAGCATTTTGGTGGTTTGACAAGGGCATATCCTTTGTCCTAAATTATCTTTTAACACCCCCACATTTACTGATATTGTCATTCAAGTAAATAAAGAGCCACTGGTGTTGCTGAAAGGAATCATTAATTATACATATAACTACAAGACATACAGTACATAGCTATGTTTATCTGTCACATAATCCATTATCAGCAGATTTTCTCAGATACACGCCTTAGTTAAGTGCCTACAGTGTTGAATGTCAGTGGTATCCTCTGACAGGCTATCTGCACTGTCATGCCCTATAACTACAGATCTTGCTACAGACTGCAGACAGATCTATGCATCCCTTCATAAGAAAATAAAGTCACTCTGCCTCTTGGAAATGTTATGCCCTAGGCAACTGCCTTAAAGAGTGTTACTGTATGTGAACTGTACTCTTATCTGAATAGCAGCAGTGATCTGTGAGAAATATGCTTACAATGGGCTTATTTAGTTGCTGTGCATTCTTTATTCCTTCAGACATATATATAACTACTGTTGCCATAATTTGTTAGCTATATCCTTTGTTTTCACAACTATTTACTTTGGTGGGTCCTTCAACTGTATCCTCTACTTTTTTAAATCTAGTTGTTTTCTGGGGTTATATACATGTCTAAAATTAAATTACCTATGGATCAACCTGAGCTAATTGTACCTGCCAATCTTGTGAAAGTCAGCTCATATTAGAAGAACCAGATTGTATATATGGGCAAAATGGAATATGGCTTTAAAGTGGAACTAAACTCTACAATCAATGTTATCTACACTATATTGCTAAAAGTATTGAGACACTCCTCCAAATCATAGGATTTAGGTGTTCCAATCACCTCCATGGCCACAGGTGTTTAAAATCAAGCACCTAGGCATGCAATCTGCTTCTACAAACATTTGTGAAAGAATGGGTCGCTCTCAGGAGCTCCTACTAAATATTCCATGGTCAACTGTTAGTGGTATTATACCAAAGTGGAAGCAACTGGGAACAACAGCAACTCAGCCACCAAGTGGTAGGCCACATAAAATGACAGAGCGGGGCCAGTGCATGCAGAAGCGCACAGTGTGCGCAGAATTTGCCAGCAGTCTACAGAGTCAATAGCTAAAGACCTCCGGACTTCATGTGGCTTTCAGATTAACACAACAACAGTGCATAGAGAACTTAATGGAATAGGTTCCATAGCTGAGTAGTTGCATCCAAGCCTTACATCACCAAGTGCAATGCAAAGCTTCGGATGCAATTGTGTAAAGCACGCCACCACTGGACTCTAGAGCAGTGGAGACATGTTCTCTGGAGTGACAAATCACACTTCTCTGTCTGGCTTTGGCAGATGCCAGGAGAACAGAAATTGCCTGACTGCATTGTGCCAAGTGTAAAGTTTGGTGGAGGAGGGATTACGTTATGGGGTTGTTTTTCAGGGGTTGGGTTTGGCCCCTTAGTTCCAGTGAAGGGAACTCTTAAGGCATCAGAATACCAAGACATTTTGGACAATTTCATGCTCACAACTTTGTGGGAACAGGTTGGGGATGGCCCCTTCCTGTTTCAACATGATTGTGCACCAGTGCACAAAGCAAGGTCCATAAAGACATGTATGAGCAAGTTTGGGGTGGAAGAACTTGACTGGTCTGCACAGTCTTGACCTTAACCCAACAGAACACATTTGGGATGAATTGGAGCAGAGACTGCGAGCCAGGCCTTCTTGTTCGACATCAGCGCCTGACCTCACAAATGTTCTTCTGGAAGAATGGTCAAACATTCCCATAGACACACTCCTAAACCTTGTGGACAGCCTCCCCAGAAGAGTTGAAGCTGTTATAGCTGTAAAGGGTGGACCAACTCAATATTGAACCCTACGTACTAAGACTGGGGTGCCATTAAAGTTCATGTGCGTGTAAAGGCAGGCGTCCCAATACTTTCGGCAATATAGTGTGTATTTAATCCTAATGCTAATAGCATAAAAATATTGATAGAAAGGTATATTTGC